CGCTGACCCGGCCCCACTGGACCCCAGCCACACCCCGACCCGATCCTAGCGCACTGACCCGACCCACCCCAGGGCGCTGACCCAGCCGACCCCACCCCAGGGCACTGACCCAGCCCACCCGATCCCTGTGCGCAGGATCCCAGCTCACAGCTGAGCCCCCATCTGACCGACCCCAACCCGCTGACCTGGCCCTGGCCCTGCCCTGCTGTTCCCCAGTGTACTGAGCTGGCCCTGAGTCCCACGTTGGAGGACAGGCTGGCCGCCTTATGGAGAGCTCAGCCGAAAGTTGGGTTGTTATTTTTTGAGCCAGTGTTTTTCAGACCCTTTAATTGTGTCCCGTTCCTCACAGATGTTAAGTTTGTAGGGTTTAAAGCAAATCCCACTCACTTGTGACCAAGCCAATTCATGGTATGGTGGGGCCTGCAGGCTGTGCTGCTACCTGGAGTGGCGGGAACTCAGCAGCAGGGCCAGACCTTCACAGACCCTCTTCATGTCTGTGGAGGGTGGACCGAGGTCTGGTGAGACCTTCACAGAACCCCCTCATGTCCGTGGAGGGTGGACCGAGATCAGGTGAGACCTTCACAGACCCCCTCATGTCCGTGGAGGGGGGACCGAGGTCAGGTGAGACCTTCACAGACCCCCCTCATGTTCGTGGAGGGTGGACCGAGATCAGGTGAGACCTTCACAGACCCCCCTCATGTCCGTGGAGGGTGGACCGAGGTCAGGTGAGACCTTCACAGACCCCCCTCATTGTCCGTGAAGGGTGGACTGAGGTCAGGTGAGACCTTCACAGACCCTCCTCATGTCTGTGGAGGGTGGACCGAGGTCAGGTGAGACTGCCAGTCTCAGAGGGGATGCAGAGAAAGAGACCTTTCCTTTAACAGAACAGCTGTCGACTGGGAACTTTCTAGGTGCTGGAGTTCAAACACCTCAGTGCAATTGTACCAGGGCCCAGAGACACCTGCACAAAGCCCCACCACAGCCTTGTGACACCTACATGAACACCTTAGAGCCCAGAGACACCTGCACACAGTGCCACCGCAGCCTGGGGACACCCAAGGACAGCTACATGTGGGCTCAGACGCTAGGCATAATCATATCAGAGCACAGCTGCACCTAGAGGACACCTGTACACAGCTGCAGCAGAGTTCATAGACACCTGCATGCAACCACACCATGCATTGCGGTCACTGCCTTGTAGGGTGCTGGGATGAATGCAAAGGGGCCACATATCACCTGCCTGGCTCTGAGGGGCCTGTCCAGGAGGGCTCAGGGGGAGGCAGACATTGAGTAGAACCTAAAGAGTGGCTGCAGCTGATGAGCCCAATAAGCTGGGACCGTGCACAGCGGGCACAAAGGTGAGATCCAGGACCAGGTCACTGTTGTGGAAAGGGGAGCTATCAGGAGTACAATGGCAAGGTGGGCTGCAGGGAGCACTGGATGCCAAGCTTAAAGCATTAGGTTTTCTCAGCACGAATCACAGGACTCCAGGCCTGACTCCACAGCTGTGAATTTCTTTAATAGCAAAAGCCAACGTTTATTGGGTGCTTACTATGTGCCAGATATCGTCGTAAACACTTTGAATGTATTAATGACTCTTCACAGTGCATAGCAAGAACTCTTACTGTTGTTCCATTTTTCTAACTGGAAGCTGAGGCACAGCTTCCTCAGGGCACAGCTGGTAGAGGCCCCACAGGCAAGGGGTGGCCCTAGATTTGGCCCCCAGGCAGGCCAGCTCCAGCCTGTCCTCTTAACTACCGCGCCTTCTTATGTGTTGTCTAAGTTTCTGAGAAACACTAATTTGAACATCTTGCTTTTGAACTAAGATCTTTTATGCGTGCCTTGGTTTTGGTTTGGTTTGTTTTTAGCACTGCAAAGAAAGAAGACATAAAGCTGAGTGTTAGAAAGCTACTCAACAGACATAATATCGTGTTTGGTGATTACACGTGGACTGAGTTTGATGAACCTTTTTTGACCAGAAATGTGCAGTCTGTGTCTATCGTTGACACAGAATTAAAGGTTAAAGACTCACAGGTAAGTCAGTAATTTGCTGGGCCAAGTAACAGTCAGCTGAATACAAAGGCTGTGTCATGAATGTCTTTTGCTGTTTTCATAGCATATTGTCAGAAACAGGTTCACGTTATCTGTGGGTCTGGGTGGCTAGACTGGTTCTTTTCTCACCATCTGTCGGGAGCCAGGTGCTGGGAGTAGGAAGTGGTCCTGACGTCAGGGTGCTCTCAGCACAGCAGGGGACAGACTGGGAACCAAGAACGAGAATGCAGCACTGTAGGACAGTGGGCTGTGCCGGGGAGGCCTGTGTATTGTGTCTCATTCTTCCAGAGAACATATGTTTATGAAGTGCTCAGTGTGTGCTAGGGCCGTCAGAGGTGTGGGGGCTCCAGAGGTGAGGAGGTGGCATCAGAGGCGTGGGGGCTCCAGAGGTGAGGAGGTGACATCGGAGGCGTGGGGGCTCCGGGGATGAGGAGGTGGCATCGGAGGCGTGGGGGCTCCGGGGATGAGGAGGTGGCATCGGAGGCGTGGGGGCTCCAGAGAGCAGGTCTTCATCTCATCCCACGCATGGCCACCTCCCCCACCATCTGAGTTCGTGTGTGGGAGTTAGAGGAGCTTTGTGTGAGGACGTGGATGCACTGGGGCAGTCCTGGCACCAGTATAAAAAGGCCTGCAATGTATTTGTGAGGAAGGAGTATCACTTCCGTGTGCATCCCTGCCCTGTAGAGGACAGCAGTGCAGGACAGGCTTGGCACTAAATTCCGCTCGCGAGGTGGACCTCCTCAGTCATATGCTGGGGTGCGTGTTTGTTCGTGGTCACTGAGAGCTGATGCTCCATGGGTTCAGCCAGTCTGAGGGAAGGAGGAGCTTCCCACACTGGTATGGACGGATGGACAGCTAGCTGGAGGGCGCCGGGGATGCCCAGGGAACGTTGTAATGTCCTCTTTGGCTGCAGATTCACTTGTAAGAATTTTTTTTGGCTGATAATTCTGCAATTTCGTGGGTCTTTCTGAACAGATGCTTGTTAGATGTTGCTAATAATAGCCAGCAATTTGAAATATTTTAACTGTCCACCAGAGATCAGTTACTAACTATAAGAATTCCACACATCTGCATCACGTACAATATAGCCATAAAGAAGAATGAGGTAGATTTCTATCTGCTGGCATAAACATTTCTCTGAGTAATAACAAACACAAAAAGACACAAGTTAGGAACCCGGTGGGTGAGGTGGCTCATGCCTGTAGTCCCAACACTGGGAGGCAGATGGAAGGATCACTTGAGGCCAGGAATTGGAGACTGGCCCAGGGAACATAGCAAGACCCTGTCTCTAAAAAGTGTTTTAAAAAATTAGCCAGTGTGGGGGCGCACACACCTAGTGCCAGCTACTCAGGAGGCTGAAGGTGGGGGGATCACTCACTTGAATCCAGGAATGTAATCTTGCTGTGAGCTGTGGTCTTGCCACTGCGCTGTAGCCTGGGAGACAGAGCAAGATCCTGTCTCAAAAAATAGCTTAATTAAAAAAAAAAAAAAAAAAAAAACCCTTGTGGTGAAAGTCAACTGAGATGGCTTCTAGACTCCAGTGGCATCCCAGAGGTTGGACTTAGGCACTTTCTTTATCCAGGAAGTGGGTGTAGGGCCCAACAGGCGAGGGATGGCTATACACTTTTAAAAGAGCTAATCCTCAATCTGAAGTAAATTCACAGCCTTCTCATCTAATCTGAAACTACTTTTTATTATAATACACATTCAGTTTTTATTTGCGGACCTTAACGTCTAATTCATATGGGTAGAAACGAGTCAGATACCTTAAATGTGTGTAGGTTAATGTGGCTTTTCTCTCATTATAGCCCATTGATTTGAGCACCTGCAAGGTCGCACTTCACATCTTCCAGCTGAATGAAGATGGCCCCAGCAGTGAAAATCTGGAGGAAGAGACAGAAAACATAATTGCAGCAAATCACTGGGTTCTGCCTGCAGGTATGGGGGTGATGCTGAGGTGCAGAGTGTCGGGGTGAGGAGCGGGGGTGATGCTGAGGAGTGGGGG